TTTTCATTTTATGTGTATGAGTGTATTGTCTGCATGTATGTGAGTGCACCCATGTCATGCAGTGCCTAGAGTGAAGAAGAGGGCATCGGATTCCCCTGGAACTGGAGTTAAGGATGGTTCATAGCCACCATGTGGGTGCTGGGAATCAAACCTTGGTCCTCTGCAAGAGCAGTCAGTGCTCTTAACTGCTGAGCCATCTCTCCAGCCCCCAGGATGAATGAGTGTATTGCCTGCATGTATGTGAGTGCACCCATGTCATGCAGTGCCTAGAGTGAAGAAGAGGGCATCGGATTCCCCTGGAACTGGAGTTAAGGATGGTTCATAGCCACCATGTGGGTGCTGGGAATCAAACCTTGGTCCTCTGCAAGAGCAGTCAGTGCTCTTAACTGCTGAGCCATCTCTCCAGCCCCCAGGATGAAGTTTTTTGGTTGATGAATTTTTTAATAAATTTTATAGTTTTCTGTAGTTCTTTAAATATTTATTGTGACTAAAATAATGAAATATTTTATAAGATGTATGAACATAAAATATTTTGAAGCTTATGTTGTAGGAATATCATTTTGAGATTGAGTTATATATGATTGATAACACTAATTTGTTTTTGATAAAAGTATTTTTGGTTGATTACCTAATAAGTAGATTCTTTTGTCTTAAAAGAAATGAAGTAATACAGTCTTGTCACTATAAAATTACAATACTAGCAACTTATATTTTTAAGTTCATGGATACAATTCTCACAACTTACAAAAAGTAAATCTGATAAAAGTATATCTTTAAAAATGTTCATTTGGAAATAGTATACAGTTACATAATTTTGAATAGTATGAAAGAATAATTTTCTAGATGAGAAGGTCAACCTGAAAGACTGAGAAATTATGAGTTCACTTGAACAAGTGAATTAAATGGTCATGTTAGGAACCTTTACCATGACTTCAAAGAAAAAGAGGGTATGCATTCTTAAATTGGTTTTATCCTTTAAAGAAAGGATGGATTTATAAATAGCTTAAATATTTAAAAGAAGTCCCTACAGTGAAGGCATGGGTTGGAAATGAGTCTAATCTGCTTTGTTCCTGTCATGTGTAAGGAACAGAGCTTTTCGGACTCATGTTAAAAATGCTTATGTCTTGGTCTCCTCTCGCTCTCTTTTCTGCTAACCTACAATAGCTTCCTGTCCTTTCAAGTTGACTTCCTGTGTTCATATTTATTTCTACCTCTTAAACTATCCCTTAGAGTTCTTGAGGTTCTGGAGAGCTCTCACTTTGGGATCAGATGTGAGGAACAGATACTTGTCAGTCCACTGTGCAGACTTCAGTGAGGTCAGCAGCTTTGGCCGCTGCTCTTGGCTAAGGGGTTTGTAAGTTTTCAGTTGGGGTTGAGGTCAGTAGTACATCAATAAGCTCTCACATACTTAAGTCAAGGTTGTAAGCAATTCACTGTGTGATGGTGGTGAACATCTAGAACCCTTGGGATTCCAGTGCTCAGCAGTCCTCAAAGTCCTTTTGAAGGTCAGAACTAAAAGGAACTTTAGATACCATTTTGTAAACTACCATCAAGTTTTAGGAGTATTCTAGCAAAGGGCTTTGAAGAATGGTTTTACTGTATGCTTCTTGGTGA